TAGTTTCATTCATGAATTTTTTTATTAAATTTTCATAGAAGTAGTAATGTTAATGTCATACGTATTTGTCAAATTAGAAGAAATAAATAATAGTATAACTTTTAGTTTTTTAAAAGATCTTGTCATTTGTATGATTTGAGAACATTAAATAACAAGCTATCTCGTTATTTATCGAGCCTCAGTTATCAAAGATCATCTTACGGATTTTCAGTTCTATGATAAATCTGTATTTTTTGATAACTACATTAAAGATTGACTTAATAGCAATACGTAATCGATATACAAAAAATACTATTTAAATACGTACACCGTGAGGTTATCCTCAAATAAAAACTGTTTAAAATTCATGAACAATGTAGAATTTCGTTGGCAGTTGGCATATAATTGCCAAGGTCACGTTTTTGACCTCATAATCCTTCATCGCCTCAATGTTTTTGATATGAACACTAGGTAGCAAATATCTTTTTTTGAATCATAAATAACAATCAGTATAATGTACCTTATTTGCCCGAAAACCAAATAATCTATATTATAATAATTAATATTTCCAACACTCACACCAGTTAGCCTAGCCCCGAAGTAAACACTGTAAGGCTTGTGTTATATGATACTAGGGTAACATTTCATTCATTACACTAGTTTTTCTTCCTACTTCCTAACTTTCCAGCTATGCAAATCATGCTATGCTAATAAAATCAAAGTCGTTAAGGTTAGTATGGATTAAGTTATTGTTTTGTTTTTAAATATATACTTACTAATATTAGGTACCTTCTCTACTCATAGGCGAAATTAACACTGTAACGGAGGCTGCTTAAGCCCATTTTTCATTCGGCGATGACAGGATAATTGAGATAAAACTTTACTTAGGTAACGTTCATTTGATCATTAAATAATTTTGGTATAAAGCACAATATAAAGTGATTCAAGACAAGGTTCAATCTATCTATCAATTTCTGTCAAATTGGGCAGAAGTTTCATATATTTTATGTAATAATTGAAATCATCTGGTTGTACATTTGCTCTCGGGGTGTAGACATACAAGCAACCAAAGGTGGCGAAAAACTGCGAATTTTGAAATACCTTTGAGTTTTCGTTTTGAACGTAGGGCGCAGTATAAATTTGGCACAAGTTGTTTTTTATAATAATAACAATAATGTATTTATGACAAACGCGTTCTGGGACCATTTATGTAACTGTCGTTTGAACATGCTCTCCTGTTAATTCTGATATTACAAGTACACTTCTCATGAGAAGCAGAGATCCATTCTCATACAATTTTTAATTTTATTGCGATAAAAACCTGAACAGCCTAAGTTTATTTGCATAAGACAAATTACTGTAATATAGCATAATTATTTCTATTGTGTCTTCACGTCGGCCGGCATAAGCAACATCTAAACACCTCTATTAAATTGTTGAATGAGGTTAATATCTTTTTATTTACTTTACATCACAATTTTTTCGCGGCTTTCGTTGCATTTTTCTTTTTTTTTTGTAGGAAAATTTTAAAATGTATCGAATTTCTTCACTTTTATTGATTTTGACAGCAAGAGAAACAAATGAAAAGCACATCTTTTTTTGTGAATTTGGGATTACTTATCTTCTTTCAAATTTAAACTTTTTAATGATACCATAACCATGCAGATACAAATGGTATAGCCAAAGATATTTTTTTACAAGTTCATATATACAGTATGTATGAACTGACTAGATGCGAATTTTTTTTTCCAACCTATTAATCAAACATTTGTATCATGATGAAAGACTAACTTTTGCGCACTAAACGCAGTGAAATAGTGAGGAAATTCACGAGAGTGCCGACTTACAATAAAGTTTATTTCCGTGCGCGGTCAAGGTTACTTTTTTGCATAACACACCAATTTTAACGGCTTCTAATGACAAACTATTCCATTCCAGTTATCACGGAAATTAAACATGGAAAGAATTATTATTGATAAGTTTAAATTAAATGTTAATGATATTCAAAATATATATAAAATAGATTTTATGGTGGTTATATTTTATAGTTTATTTTTTATTTACGGCATTTAACACAATAGATATTTAGAAGAAAAACGACTAGAAAAAAATCATTCGATCCAGGTTTCAAGGGCGATTCCATTTAGATTTTTTTTAGAAAATTAAGACTCCTGCTCAAATCTTCATCAGCCTATCCTAGTCCACTGCTGGACATAGGTTTCTCCAATTGCACGCCACTCAGATCGTTCTTGGGCTACTCGCATCCAGCTCCTACCAGCTACTTTGCGCAAATCGTGACTCCATCGTGCTTGAGGACGCCCTACACTACGTTTGCCTAGATGCGGTCTCCACTCCAGAACTCGTCTACCCCAACTGTTATCGGCAAATATGGCCAGCCCACTGCCACTTCAACTTGCTAATCCGGTGGGCTATGTCGATAACTCTGGTTCTCTGTCGGATTACCTCATTTCTGATGCGATCCTGATCTGATGCGATACGCCGAACATAGCCCTTTCCATAGCACGCTGAGCGACTTTGAACTTGTGGACAAGCCGTACCGTCAGTGTTCCTGCTCAAATATATTGTGGTAACTACAAGCAACTACGGAACTCTACACTGCGCGTGGCACGACACGCACTTGACCGTTTTTTTAATAATAATCTTTATTTCTGAATCATGACCAGTATACAATATAACAATTTAATTTTAATTTGATGAAATTTAGTTTGGTAGCCCCTAACCAAAGCAGTAAAGTCTTCTTGTAAAGTCTTCTTGTAAAAGTAACTTCGATCATTAGATTATTTTTGATGTAATTAACTAATGTGTATTTAGTATTGTTTTTTTATAAAGTTTTTTTTTTAACATGTCTCTATTTTCAGTCCAGCCAAATAAGACCAAAATTACTTGGTTCCTTGGTTATAGTTGAATAATTAATGTACACTTCTAATTATATTTTGTAAAATTTATATTTACGATTTAAGGACGTTGTTGTTGAGGAGTTGTACTGGTACTTCTTTATCAACTCCACTTAATTTTTATCATGCATCGTGTTGAAATAGATGTACACTACCTGTCAATCAAATTAAAGTAATCGTATCTATACTCGCGGTACACGTATTATTAATTAGTCTAGGTGTCAGCCAACAAAGTGTCTTTATAAATACACTCCCGGACACCTAAATCGAGCCACCTTGATTTTTTTGGTTTGGAGTACTATAACTTATAAAAGATGTATGTAGAAGGAAAATGTTTTGATGCAGTTTTGGAGCTGGGGGCCATTCGCCTAACGGAAATGCTTTGGAAAAACTCTAACGCTTTCGAATTCATTTTGTTATTTCTGACCGTCGAAGGTTTTCAAATACCTCACGCTCATTTCCTTCAATATTGTAATTACCAATGCAAAAGAAAAAAAAGAGCGCGAGGCATTTGAAAACCTCTAGCGGCTAGAAATAACAAAATGAAATCGTAAGCGATAGCGTTTTCCAAAGCATTTCCGTTAGGCGAATGGCCCCCTGGTATACTCATCATTCATTTAGAGTGCCCCTGTTCTAAATTTGTACTACAGTTTATTAAAAAAGTCGAGTTACGTTGAAACAAGTCCATATTTGCTTTTTTCAAGGAAAAAAATCTAATCGATTTTTAAATAAACACATGTTTTACATGAAAAGAAATGTTTATTTAGTAACTTGTATTGCCTCCCAGTGCATTTATGACAGCTCTCATACGGTATGGCATAGAATTAATCAATGTCGTTATGACATGTTGAGGAATGTCTTCCCATTCTTCCAAAATTACATTTTTGAGCTCCTGCATGGTTTTCGGGGCACGATGATGAGCTCGAACACGCCTCTTCAGTTCATCCTATAGATGCTCTATAGGATTCATATCAGGTCTTCGCGCTGGCCATCTCATAACAGTGATACCAATGTCATTTAAGTACTCCCAGACGATTCTCGCAGTATGGGTCCTTGCATTATCATGCATTAAAACGAAATCTTGGCCAATAAATCCAGCATATGGCATCACGAGGTTCTCTAAACATTAGCGAATGTATCTATTGCCATCTAGGGGTGGCAGTCATGGCCCCGTCACTACCTTTAGCTCAGTTTTACCTTCCATAGAGATTCCTCCCCAGACTGTCCATGATCCTCCACCATAACTCACTTTCTCGCCAATACAGCATTGCGCGAAACGCTCGTTCTGTTTTCGGTACACCTTACTCGTTTCGTCATTACCGTATAGCATTATCTTGGACTCATCTGTGAAGAGAACCTGGCGCCATTGATGTCGAGTCCAATTTAGATGTTCGCGCGCAAACTCTAGACGGGCTATTCGGTGTGCTCGTGTCAATTTGGGTCCATTGGCTGGCTTATGGGGCTTTAAACCACGTTCATTGAGTCGCCTTCTAACGGTCCGAGCACTTACAGCCACTCCGTGAAAGTCCCTGAGCTGTTCTTGTATCAGAACAGAGTTAAGGCGTCGATTTCGTAAGCTAGTAGTGATCTTGTCTCGCCGTTGTCACTCGGTAACGAGGTCCTCCTGTTCGCCGATCGAAGCCGCCTGTCTCCAGGTATCGGTGGTACACTCTTTGAACAGCGCAACGACTTATGTGAAGTTGTGAACTCAGATCTCGCTGACTTAGACCAGATTTAAGAAGTGCTACAGCTTGCGCGGCTACTTCAGGTGAAGTATCCATAATTTTATTGCCAAAATCGGTTCAAATTATAGAAAAATAACTAAACTAAACTTTGGTTTACAACAATTGCGAAAATTCAAACCAAATCGACATTAAATTGCTTCAAAAGCAACTTTCAACAGTCATTATTTTTTTCAAATCAGTGGCCAAGCTCGGCTTTTGTTCTTTATTTTAAATTCTAAAATTCAAATTTGGAATAATACATACAGGAAAGACGATGAAATATGCCAGCATTAAAAATGCATAAAAACTTTTTGCTATATTGTATATTTTTTGTATATTGGGCTTTTAGGCCCGGGAATGTAAGGTGGCTCGATTCAAGCGTCCGGGAGTGTATATATTTTACTGTAAAAACATATGTATAAAATTCTATAAAGGCGTGATCATAATTTTTAAAGACTTCTCTGGATATCTCCATGGATTCCATCATCTGATCTTGAGTTACTGACCATGGGATGAGACTATTTGGAAAGTAGACCCTTTCTAACAAAAGAAGAAATTGTGAATAAGTAATAAAACATTATTTCTATATTTACATAAATAATATATAAATATATTTATAAATCCAGCTTTTGTCTGCTTCACTTAAAAAATGATTTTTTGATCTAGGCGTCTTCGAGTAATTATTACGTCATTAGAAGTAAATAGCTTAAGTTCAAATTCATAAATTTAAAGTTAAGGCTATGTATATATTATAAACTTACAAAGGTAGAGACGAAACGTTCAAAGTAATTACATATTAGTATTTAATATGTTGAAAAAACCCTTTCAATCCTTCGGAATGGTACGATCAGATCAGGCTTTATAATTCAAAAATCTTCACATTGGGAACATAATTTTTAACTGCACTTACTTATACAAGAAAATTCAGAAAACGTAAAAGAACTAACGCGGTGAGGTTCAAATTATGCTTATATTTAAGAACATAAGTCACATACCGAAGTAAGAAAACGTCAATTTATTTCGTTACAATTAACACGGCAAAACCATGTCGATCTTTTGGGGTTCAAAGGGCGTAGACTAATTTTACAGTAAAGCCATAAAAATATTTTTTTAACGTTGTTTTGATGTAGGTACATATTATTATATTTTTGTAGCTGTATATATGAATATGTATTTTTTTATATATTAAAAAACATAAAAGATTCATTGACAACACTGTACTGTTAAATTGACATTGGGAGTTTACCCTTTCGAGCTCCAAAGTATTGATGTAACGAACGAGTACGCGTAGCAAAGCTTTCGTGTCGTATGCAGCAGGTTGCGTTGCGCGGGAGTGGAGTGGATTGCCGTGCCGGCCGGTGCGGCTGCGTGCTCGACCACGAGCATAGTACAAGCGCGTTGCTCCCAGCCGACGGTCGCAAACGCTAGAGATACGCGATCTCGTATAAAAACAGCGCACGCCGAGGGTGCGAGCCCATTTATAGCCTCCTTCTAACCGTAGAAGCATCTATTAAAAAAACTAGTTTCTTTTTTAAAAGTGTCACAATGTCAGCCGATGTGGTTTTCAGACACAGTCATGGAGACGATGAAAATAATAACGATGGTGTTCTCGTCGCGAAGGGTGTATCTATGGCGGTACTGTTTTGCGCCTCTATGATATGTGGTATCGCACCCCTGCTTATATCGAGGAGGTTCAACTGGGTCACCCCCGAGGAGGCGGGGACATTGAAGTCCACCAATAGAGTTGTGATGACGCTGTTGTCCTTCGGCGGTGGCGTGCTTCTGTCTACGACCTTCATGCATCTGATGCCCGAAATACAGCACAACATAGAATGGCTCCAACGTGAGTACTTTTTTAATTAAGACTATATTTATATTATGAAGCATGAAGGTTTAATTTCAAATTAACAGATATTTTGGCAGTGCTCAATAATTCGCTGTTAAATTACAAAACTTCAATCAAAACAAAACAAAGATTTAAAATAAGGTTTTCTTTCATTCATGTTAGCATAATGTTTTAGGTATATAATACAATAACCAATTAAAAATAATCGTTGCTGTTTTACTACGTTACAGCGTGGTCTTTGTTATCTCCGGATCTAGACAGTTTTTTTGTGTTTAATATAATTTGTTTAAAAACAATGCAAATGAGGGCAAATCATCTTGTCTCTTCATCACATCACAGATGATGAGATAGACAATGTAATTGAGAATCGTGTGTCAGTATACCAATCTCGTTCACCTTGGCTCTAATATAGGTATTTTGTTTCCGGAGATTGAATGACCGTTCTTTTTATCTCACGCGTTCACTCCACGTTATTTATGTTAGTTCATAATGTTAATTGCCTTTTTAGTCATAGACTTGTATGTAATATTCATAATCAAATTGCCCAAACGACTCCAGCTTAGAATGTTATGTTAAAAATCTAATTTATTACAAATTAGAAAAATGTACAGGTTCATTTCTTAATCTTTCTAGATTTTCAAAGATTAGAGAGACTTCCATAAAGAATAACTTTATTTAAAAATAACATTTTATAACACATACAAAAAAAATTGTTAAAAATTTTGGACATACCTGATAAACATTATTCAGCAACCAATAAAAAATCTTTACTTGCTCTACTTTTCATTTTAAACATTAGAAAATAATATTATCGACAAACTTGTTCTCGTTTTTTGTCAAGTAAAAATAAGTAAGTACATTACATGGAGGCCATTATCTAATAGTTGCGCAAGCGTCGGTAAGTGTGCCAGTGCCCGAGTGCGCTCTCGTATCTGAGTGGACACTTAATTGACGGATCATCTCGTCTAGACTGCAAAGTTTATATTTTTATACCAGTCCATAGTGGTAAATGGAATTGGAGAGGAATTATTGATATATAAAAAAACTACGAGTAAAATTTGCACGCTTTAAAAGTAAGGTCTTTAACAATAGTGTTGACGACGTCTATAGAGAAATAAATACAGCATATAGAAAGAAATCTGCGCATTCGGTTAGATAGATCATAAAATGGGTAAAAAAAACATCCGAACTGAGCCCGCAGGGTGGTTCCATGGATGATCATGGTCTGTCCTCTTTATTCTTCATGGGTAGGTCCTCATAGTAGATAAGTTAATAGTAGAGTAGGCGAAGCCTGTTGTAATTAGTGGACCGCGAGTCCGCAAATTACAACAGGCTTCTGAGGTCTGAGGGAGAAGAATTTGTACGAAAGTACAGGTACCTTTGTTACATTTATATCATATCATTATCTTTGATATATATATTTAAACATCACCAAAAAATCTAATATTTTTAGTAATAAAAATAATACTTGTATTTTCCAAATACAATTGATATCGACAATATTTTAATTCGACTTTGTTGTTTACAAAGTCAGTCTATTTTTTATGAAATTTTATCGTAAACAAAACAGTGATGGATGGTACCTGATTGTTTTGCATTTACACTTAATATAAGTACCAATGATTTGACTCATGCTTTGTGACGTGCGGTATATTCCGTTGAGTGTATCTAGCTAGTTCCACAATAATTTTTTACTGGTTTTACTGATTTTGCCACAGAAGGGAAAAGAAGTTTCATTAATACACAGTCTGTATGGGATTGTCCTTTTTTTCCTTGAAGAAGAGAATCACAAGATGAATAATATTAGGTAAATCTCGGTTTTTTACATTATTATCGACAACAATAAATAATGTTGCTTTGTATGATTAATACTATTATGTACGTACTAATTGCTTTGGGGCTAGCTAGGCTAATCGGTACTTACATCTTAGGTAGCTTTAAAAAATATTGATTTATTATTGCAAATTACATTTAACTCTGTGTTTCTGCTATGTTCACACGTAGAAATCGCAGATTTTGATGAAATTTAATAACTTATTAAATTTCATAATAAGGTAAAGAATAGAGGTATAAGCTAAATTTTCTTTTGAAATTAAGACTAGAAAGACATGAAACAGGGTTGACAGTGTTTGTACAGAATCGATAATTCAACACGAAAGAATTACGGATATGCGACAGTAAAAAGTATAAAGAATAGTAGCTAATTAGGATACGGACGACCTATAGGGAAAAATATTAAGAAATAATAGTTAAGTAAATTCATAAATACACGTCTCGTTTTGGAAAGCAGTTCAAGGAAAGTAACGTAATAATGTGGTCCGCAAGACAGAGAGTAAACGTAACAAAATTTTATAAATAATATACAGTCAGTAAACACTTTCTTGCAAGGAGGATTGGATCTATGCAAGTTGCAAATGTTCTGAAAATGTTTATAAATAATTCAATAATTTAATAAAAAAATAATAAACAATTTCAATGTCGATAAAAAATGGCGATGAGAATGAAAACTGTGTGAATTGTCGATGTACTAAGTTGCACATCTGTTGCTTGATAGATAGGGTACAGACAGGTCAAGTTACTCAAAGCTTTATGTTGCTTAATATAAGATTTATAGTCTATTCAGGAAAATTGACAATTTATGATAACTTTATGTATGACTGTCTGTACATCACCGGACGTGGAACAATTAGCATATTACCAATTCAATGAAGGGAAACAGAATCAGCGTGATCGTAAGCGGAATACTAATACTCAGCTTATTAAATAGCTCACTAATTGTTACATTCATAGCTCATTCATTTTCACAAGTTATTCGTTCATTATGTGCCAATTAAGTTCGCAAAGTAAAAATAACATTAGCGGTTGCAATTTTTGCTTAATCATTTAGGTATTCTTATAATGTAAGACTAACGTAAGGTTACGTAATGTTACATTAAAAAAACATTCATTTCAAAGTTTAATCACTGTTTCCAAATTAAATGTTAAACATTACGTTTTTCATATTTATATGTATATACATGTTAAAATTTAATATTCTCTATATGAAAAGTCTGTTATTTTTTTATTAGGTATAACTGACTGAAGTTGTAAGCAACTTGAGACTTTTTATGAGTGTAATTAAGGAAACTCTCTGAGGAAACTCTGATGATTTGCTTACGTTACTATTTTGGTATTTACGTTATTATGATCTCTATGGTATCTCCTAGAAATTATGAGATAGGTATTGCTCATGATTACTCAAGAAAAGCATTGTGCATACACTACAGCCTAGGCATGGGAAATAACCTCACCGTCTTGTATGATGTACAGACAAATATTTAGTTAAGGAACCCTTTTTTTGTCATTTTTTTTGTTTTTATTTTTTTATGATACATCATATAAAAATACATACAACCCTAAATTTTCACCCTTCTAACACCAACCCCTACTTTTTTATGGCGGTACGAAGTTCGCTGGAACAGCTAGTATAGTATAAAAATAATATTCGAAAGTACATAATTTGGTTTAAGCATATTTAGGTTTCTCATGAAAAAAATAATAATGACAATGACGGCATTATTACAGACAGTACGAAATAACGCTATTGAAATTTTGGGAAAAGGTATTTCATTACTATTAAAAATTTCATTTAAAATTGGGAAATTCGTTAAATTTCTCTATCTTGTTTCTATAGTGGTTTGGTATATTTAGGATTGTGCATAAATTATACATTTATCTCTCAGTTTCTCTTGTTGTATCATTAAACCTTACGTGATGTGATGGCAGACCAGTGAGACTTGATATTTTAGTAATGGGAATACCGTGTAAGTGCGTAACTGAAATCAAAGTCACGTATTAATATCGATAGTGGAAAAACAAAAATGTTGGTACGCCACTTTGGTGCTGCTTAAATATAAAAATTAAATTAAAACTGAAATTAAGTTAATTTTTAAGCAGCACCAAAGAGGCGTATTCGCAATTTTGCTTTTCCACTGTCGATATGATATACCATTTGCTTTAAAATACAAATATCTTAACGTATTCAAGAGTTTAAAGCTAAAAGAGTTATATGTATATAATTTAAATATGTATAATAAAAATTGACAATTACAATGACTTTTATTTTAAAATTCCGCGTTTATAGATGCATAGGCTTGATGAACGTATTTTTAAAATCTCTTATCTATTAGACAAGTCCGTCCGTCCGTCCGTCTGTCTGTGGTGCTGTTTCAGCGGCCAAACCGTAAGAGATAGATAAAGAGAATGTTTAAGTTATAAGTTAAGAATAGTCTGATAAGACTACAAACCGGATTTGAGTAACGTAGCACTTCCGGTTTTCGAGAAATCACGAATCACTTCAAACGAAATCACACAAAATCTCCGAAGTTATCAATTAATTAAATACATTTTTTTTAATTCAGATTTTGGTGAACATTTGGTTCACTGGTTTGCTAGTATTATAATAATACGTTCATCAAGTAAAATGGTATTATGATATTAAAAGTATTAAGCTTACAATATTTTTGATATTAATAAGCATTTACTTCATGTACTTTCGTACTTATTTATATTAATATTGATTTTACTAATCTGTCTTATCCTTCAATCAATAAATATTATAATTATGCTTATCATTGGATTGGCCAGTTATCAAAAGTAAAGTTCAGTATACGCACTGTTGTACAGCAAAATCAGCGTTAGAACTAGGAAATTTTTAGACATCTACCTACTACGTGGTCCTCCATGGATCCGGAGTATGAAGATTCATCCAACTGAATTCGTCTTAATCTTCAGACTCCTGCATACCTAATTATTATCACACTAATATTTATAAAGGCGAAAGTGTGTGAGTGTGTATGTTTTTTTACTTCTTCACGTCTAAACGTCTGGAGCGATTTTAATAAAATTTGGTATGGAGTTAGCTGACACCCTGGATTAACACATAGGTTACGTTTCACTGCGGGAAAATATCCCTATGAACCGCGGGGCACAGCTAGTATTGAATAAAGCCCATAAAA